AGAATTTGGTGTTGACTGTGAGGCGAAACGAAGGAAAGCTGGAGCTCATCACTGCCCAGGAGGAGAGGGCAAAACAGCACTCAGCTTTTTAAAACATTTTAATTTGTTCATTTTTACCTTTCAAATGGTTTAATTTCTAAATGTTTTTGTCATTTTGCCTCAGCAACTCACAAGTTTGGGTTTTCTTTCATATATTAAGGTTATATTGACGTTATTTTTAACCACATAGAGAGGATAGAGTTTTAAACAGTTTTTGAACATCTCACATGGGGTGGGGAGGTTCAACAGACGCTTTTACCTCCGCTCGCCTGCCTCATCATCTGCTGACCAGGAGAGAAGCCCCCTGTGAAATTCACACCAGCCGACCCTAAAGGAAATCCAGGTGTATTGTAGGAGACCACACCCACCCCAACATCACCTGTTCGTCTCCCCCTGCCCTTGGGAAAGAGAGTGGTCAGTCAAGTTCAGATCACAGCTTCACTGATTCTCACAGATCAGCAGGAACTAAAACAGAGTTTGTGGTAAACATTTAACTTTTAATGACGAGCTTCTGTACGTGGGAGTCAGTGGAGTCAAGTAACAAAGACCAAGATATCACTGTGTCATTTTACACTGACTGACTCTGCTTCTCCTTATTTCCTGTTTCTGTATGTGCAGCTAATCCCCGAGACTGCAGCCAAAGCAGCATTTCTCAAATGTGAATCATGCAAAGCTGCTTTAATAGAGTCAAAGTTTTTATGTGGCTCAAAATATTTTGATTTATTAACAAAAATACTTTAATGTTACCCAAAGGTTTGAACTTTTTTTTAATTTATCTGAAACTGGAAGTCCTCCGGGCCGCTGGGGGGACTCTTGGGTACTTTTCCCGGTGACACCGGAAGTTCTCGCTCTTATTGTGAAGAGAACTTCCTGTTTTGGTCCAAGCGGCGGAGTTACCGTTAACGACCGGAGAAACAGGCGAAAGTTTGATTCTCTGGTTTTTGGCTGCGTGAGTTTTGGGTCTCCGGGTTCGTGCTCGTTCCGGACGGCGGTGAGTTGTTGGCTCGCGCCTCTCGGAGCTAACTCTCCGATCTGCGCACCGTGTTCGCTAAACGCGCCTCCCTGTGCTTTGTTCCCACTCAGCGGCCTGACATGAGTCTGAGTCTCAGGTGATTCGAGTACCAGGTCTTTGCTGGGGGAAGAAGAGGAGAGCATGGAGGGCAAGTTAGCGGACAGCCCGTGTTCATCGGAGCCGGACAGCCCGGGGGTGCTGAACCGAGGCTGCCTGCTCGACTCGGACGATGTCCCGTACCCCGAGCTGCCCGTCATCGTCCCGGAAACCCCCAGGTACTCTGCATCCGTGGCACGTTAGCACACATACAGGAAACTACACGTACATGTAGTCCGAGTTCCTGGAAGCTGCAGTAACAGCTGCTCTGCTGAGAGTCTGGGGCTTCCCTGTATTTGTGACCTTTACTCTGGAGAGTACACACACTTCCTGTCTGTGGTGCACCTTCGGCCTCTGTGACCCGCTCTCGAGTGTTTATTGGTCCCTCGCATGTGATCGCTTTCAGGCCAATAGCACCACCAGGATTTTCCTCGTAAACGGCAACAACAAACTGCAGCGATGACAGAGCAGAGGAGACCGAGCAGGTCCAAACAGTCTTCTGCTGCAGGGACACATTCACAGCTGCCCCGGCCCAGCAGCTGCTCCTCTCTCCACACCAAAGTCCGGCCAGGCTGAAATCTGCTGCTGTGTTTGGAACCCAGTAATAACGCAGCACAGCCCGGCTGGACGCTGATCCCATCACTGCACGTGTGCTGACTCCTCAGCAGCTGTGGGAGTCAGAGACTCCATATTTAACTCCCTGTGCTGACAGGCTGTTTACAAGCCTCCCAGTGGAGGACAAACCCTGTTCTGACTGGACTTCAGTCAGCTGAGTCTGTTTCACTTTCAAACAGAAAGTGGACTGTTTGCAGTTACGGGGGTTTTCCAGTAGGAATGAAAATCTATTCTTGGAAACACTTTCTGTTTCCTCAAACAGTTGGTGGAGGTTTTCTCATTAAAGACGACGCGACTAACATAAGAAGAGGGCGACTGCTCGCTTCATGTAGCGGTGGTGGTGGTGGGGGAGGGCAGGCTTTAACTGGCCAATTGTGACCCGAGTTTGAAATGGGCTGATGATGAAACTGAGCGAGGGCACGACTATCGGGCAGCGATGTGTCACACACTTTGACTTGTAGATTATAATTCAGCCCAGTGTACACAGGCTCTCCTGTTATCACTGATGATGACCTCACAGCGGTCATGTGACCCTCGAGACGTTCCAGCCCAAAGGTGACCGTAGTTTTTCCTTCTTCACACATTCACACATCGTGACGACGTCATTAAGTACTTTATAGTTCCTGTGACTGACCGTGTGACTGTAGACATGAGGTCAGAGGTCGGGGGTTTCCTTCG